GGGTGAGGAGAGGGGACACAACATCAGTAAGGACACCTGATCTCAAACCAGGCAAAGTGGGGGCCAAAGGGAGGCCCAAACCTAACTGTATGATGTTCACTTATATACCTAATTCTGAATCGTACCCCACGTCTTTAAAATAAAATACATTAAAATTAAAAATAAAAAAATTTTTTAAATTAAAATATATGACCATATGAAACCTTGGGCAAAAATGTTCACAGCAGCAATAGTCATAATGGCTAGAATGTGGAACCAACCCAAATGCCCATCAACTGATAAATTTCTAGAACAACACTCTGCTATATCCATACAATATTATTCAGTGATAAAAGAAATGAAACACTGATCCATGCCACACCATGGTGACCCTCAAAAATATTACATTCTGTGAAAGAAGTCAGTCAAAAAAGACCACTTAGTATGTGATTCTATTCCTATGACATGCCCGTAATAGGCAAATAGAGAGACAGAAAACAGACTGACTAATCATTTTTTCATGACCATTGAGCTGCATCTTCTCTGCGAAACCTTTCTTGACAGAAGCAGACAGCCTGGCACACCTTGTGACAACAACTTGTAATTATCAACTAAACTGTAAGTTCCATAAAAGCAACAAAAAAAAATTTTCCCTTTTGCCCTCTGCTATATCCCCACCACCCGGAACAGTACTTGTCATATAATAGGAGTCAACAGATATGGATTGCGTGATTGAATGACTAAATCTGTTCACATGACTCCCCTGCCCCCCATCAATAGGCAGTGGTCTTCATGGAAGAGAAGGTTTCGTCCCATTCATACTCCTGCCCCGGGACCCACAGAACTAGCATGTCTGGCACACAGTACATATCCAATAAATACTGGGTCAATGAATGAATGGAGAAAAAAACCAGAGGACTAAAACTGGTTTTGACCCACTGCCGTCATGGTACCCACAGTGCTTCCCAGTTCCGGATATCCAGCACTGGATCCTTGCCTCTGGACTCAGGCAGGCCTCCTTGCGCTTCTGAGACCCTGCCTCGAGAGTGGGCCTTTTCAAACACATTTCCCTGTTTAAATGTGGCCCAGCATCTCAGCAGACCCGACAGTACTACAGATTAACTTCGTTAGAATGTATACTCAGATCCAGTCATGTAGATGGTAAATATTCGTGTGCTCCATACCAGGAAAACAAACCAAGACCACTTGAAGATCTGGGTGAGCCGGTGCCTCCCAAGACCCACACTGGGTACAGTGGCTGCACTTATGATGCTCTCAGAGAGACAGCACATGTCCTCAGCCAGAGAGCCACAAACCTGGACCGTCTTCACAGAGTTCCCACAAAGCCAGACCCGTGCTTAATCTCCCAGCACCTTTCAGGGATTAACGGGAGACATGGCCAGCTGGCAGGCCTCCATTTAAAAGGCACAGTCACTTCTGAAATGAAACACGAAGGAATTAACTTTTTAACCTGGCTTGGATGTGCACTACCCACTCTAACTAAAAGGCGTGTATTAATTTAAATGGTAGTGAGTGTAACATGTGTTCCATCGTTCTCCTTAATGCAGACCTAACAAGACATCCAAATTTTAGTAAGAGGCTATACTTCGACCAGCAAGGCATTGATGGATTTCATCAACAACAATAGGAGAGAAAATAACAAGAATGCTATCACTATTGCATTGTTTTTTATAGGCCTACCTCTAAAACTCAGAACAAACACACACTTGCACACACTCCCAATAATGAGCCCTGTTAACACTCCAGCCAAAATTCTTGGCTCATCAAGAGAGCTTTATTTGGAATGCAATACAGAAAAATCCAGGAAAACCTTTAAGGTCTTTGACAAGGCTAATATTGAACAGGAACAAAACAAGACTACTGGCACCATATCCTCTCAGCCCTTAAGTAAATGTGTCCCATTAAAAAGTAGACTGTGGCCGGGCTCGGTGGCTCAGCTTGTAATCCCGCACCTTTGGGAGGCTGAGGTGAGCAGATTGCCCAAGCCCGCGGGTTCGAGACCCGCCTGGGCAGCAACACCTCATCTCTACAATAAATCAAAACATCAGCCGGGCGTGGTAGCGCGCGCCTGTAGTTCCGGCTACTCGGAAGGCTGAGGCAGAGGGATTGCCAGAACCCAGAAGGTCGACGCTGGGGTGGCCATGAACATGCCACTGCACTCCAGCCTGGGCGACGGAGTAAGATTCCAACTCAAAAAAAGAAAAGTAGTCTGTGGAAGATTTGTTTCTCCAAAGCATATAGTAGCTTATAAGTAGAAGGGCTGTGATGGATGTGTTCAAGCACTCTTTACCCTCATTAAGCAACATTCCCTGGCAACCAAAGACTCCAACTGGACTTGATTTGGGAGAGTGGTATTTATAGCAGTGTGAAGTATAGCTTAGAGCCACAGAGCACCCTAGCACACAACATTAGAACACACTGTGTTCAAGCCTGGACATACCTTGGAATTCTTTTCAATCAACATTACAAGAGGCCACAGCTAATCGACTGGAGTTTCCATGAAAGATGAAATCTATGCATCATGATGGATCACTAAGTTCCTTTTTTTGACTTCGATAGAGAAAATATGCTCAACTCTTAATTCTAAATGTTATTGATGTGTGGAAATTTTAATTCAGAAAAACAGAAAAACCCATCAGTGAAAACAAGCCAGGCTTCCATTTCTCGTCACATGCATAGCTGGGCGCACTGGAGAAACTTTCTGTCCACAACCAGTCCACAGAGCCAAATAAGACCCGCTCTTGGAGGTGCTTCTCGTCTCACAAACTGTAGGAGAGGGCTTCAGGGATAGCCCCCCCCCCCAAAAAAAAGACAACAATTGGGAGCCAGGGCCAGGGCTTGCTGTGAAGGGGCCTGGAGAGGATGGGACCGGAGTGAGCAAGAGCTAAGCTCTTGGCGGTTGGGACGCGTGGGCACAAGAGCACCAGGGAGCATGGGCAGAGCAGCAGCAAGCCGGAGGGAAGAGTCAACGTGGGAATTAGGCAACGTGGACCAGCAGGAGGGTTTGGGCTCCCTAAGTCCTGAGTTATGTGGGTGAACGGTTGTAGGATGGTTGACCTGTTGAGGAGGACAAAACCTGCAGGAAAGGCTAAGTGGATCTTAAGTAAGGATGTCCCAAGGCTAGTCACAGAAGTATAGATCAACCATTTTTGGAAGAAAGCTTTTCCAAGTTAGGATTGCATGTCTCTCATAGGCTCCATTCAAGTGTGACTTCACAAAGATTACCAAACACACCAGAAGTTTAGTCACTCCATGAGAGCTATGACATACTAAAGAGTTTTATATTAAAAATGTTTCAAGGAATAAAAATAAAATTACAAAGATGCAATATATGCAAATATGTAGAGCTATATATAAAATAAACTATTAATAAGGAACAAACAGAATTTTTAAATATTAACTTCTAGGAATAAAATGTACAATTGTTGGATTCAAAATATAAATTATTGGGTTAAATATTACAGAGATCAGACACAGTTAACTAAAGAATTAGTGAACTGAAAGAGATATTCAAAGAATTTAGAACTTAGAAATTAGCAGGCCAGGCGCTGTGACTCGTGCCTATAATCCCAACAATTTGGGAGGCCAAGGTGAGAGGATTACCTGAGCCCATAAGTTTGAGACTAGCTTGGGCAACTTGGTGAGACCTCATCTCTACAATAAAAATTTTTTTTAAAAATTAGCTGGGCATGATGGTGCATGCCTGTAGTTCCAGCTACTTGGAAGGCTGAGACAGAAGGATCAACTGAGCCCTGCACGTTGTGGCTGTGGTGGCCGTGAGCGTGCCACTGCATTCCAGCCTGGGCGACAGAGTGAGACTCCAATTCAAAAAAAAAAAAAAGGAAATTAGCAAAGAGAGAAAAAGAGATGGAAAATATAAAAAAGAGTTTAAAAGATATGGAAGATGTAATGAGAAGATCTAATCCCCATCTCAATGAAGTCCAGAAAGAGAAAGCAGAATTTTGAAGAGTCAATGCAAAGCAAGATAAAGTCTGTGGGTTCTTCAGAAATGCTCTCAACCATGACCACGTGGACCAAGGAATTGCTATATATCCTGAGAAGAATTAATAAAGAGTCACTTATCATGAACTTAGGGCAAACCAAAATCGAAGAGAGCATCAGGAAAATGTCAGGCCAGAAGGGCTCTCTACCTTAGAGGGATTGGTGACTAAAACAAACAATGGCAGTCTTTTCAGCGGTGGAGAGCAGACGGTAAGGGAAACGGCAACTGTAGAGTGTTAAGAGAAGTCATAGTCAGTCAAGAATTCTGTCTATAGCCAGAAGAAAGAAAAAACAGAAAAAAACAAAATGAGCCCGAAAGAATTAAAATAAAGGAGCAGAAAGCAACAAAACAGAAAGAACGAGTTTATAATAGAAAGAACCAACAAATCTTGCTGGACACAGTGGCTCACACCTGTAATCCCAGGACTTTGGGAGGCTGAGGCGGAAGGATTGCCTGAGCCTAGGAGTTCAAGACCAGCCTGGGCCACACAGTGAGATTTTGTCTCTACAAAAAAATCAAAAAATGAACCAGGCTCGGTGGCACACACCTGTAGCCCCAGCTACTCAGGAGGCTAAAGTGGGAAGATGACCTGAGCCCAGGAGGTCAAGGCTGTGGTAAGCCACGGTCATGCCACTGCACTCCTGTCAGGGTGGACAGAGTGAGAACCCAGCTCAAAAGGAAAAAAAAACTACAGGTTTCTTTAAAACCTACAAAATATACACATCTCTTCACTTTAAGAAAAAAGAAAAAGGCACAAATACATAACATAAACGCAGATAACTACAGTTTGAGCAAAGATTTAAAGTATAAAGATAATTCTAGCAACAACTTTATACCAATAAATTTTAAGATGTAGACAAAACGGATTAAACATTTGCCGGTGTAGCTGACAGGTCATGTTCCTTCCAGAACCCAGCTCTTGCTGCTGTGTTTGCCCAGTTGCTCAGAACCTCTGGACGCTGAAACCAGCTAGAATTTCCTTCGCACCCGGCCGTAGCCACTTCGTTGCAACTCTGCTACCGTGTTCAAGGCTCACCTGGTCCAGGACTCCAGCCTGGAGAAGGTGCTGGAGGTGCTCAAGGACCTCATCAACGAGGCCTGCTGGGACATCAGCTTGAGGGGCGTGAACCTGCAGAGTATGGACTCGTCCCACGCCTCCCTGATGCAGGCCTCCCTGCAACCCGAGGGCTTCGACACATGCCACTGGCACCGCAACCTGGCCATGGGTGTGAACCTCACCTGCAATGTCCAAAATACTAATATGTGCTGTCAACTAACAACTGAAGATAATGCAGACACCTTGGTGCTCGCGTTTGAAGCACCAAGTCAGAAGAACGTTTCAGACTAGGAAATGAAGTTCATGGATTTGGAGACCAAACACCTTGGAATTCCAGAACAAGAGTACAGCTGTGTAGTAAAGATGCCTTCTGGGGAATCTGCACGTATATGCCAAGATCTCAGTCATACTGGAGAGGCTGCTGCAATTTCCTGTGCAAAAGACAGAGTGAAATTGTCTGCAAGTGGGGAACTTGGAAATAGGTATATTAAGTCATCACAAACTAATAATGTCTACAAAGAGGAGGAAACTCTTACCTTTGAGATGAAGGAGCCAGCTGACTTTTGCACTAAGGTACCCGAATTCGTTTACAAAAGTCATTGCACTCTCTTTGACAGTAACACTCAGTATGTCTGCAGATGTGCCCCTTGTTGTAGAGCATTAAATCACTGATATGGGCTGGACTTGGTGGCTCAGCCTGTCATTCCAGCACTTTGGGAGGCCAAGGCGAGTAGGATGCCTGAGCCTGAGGGTTCAAAACCAGCACAGGCAACTTGGCAAGACCTCGTCTCTACAATTAAATTTAAAAATGAGCCAGGCGTGGTAACACGCACCTGTAGTTCCGGCTACTTGGAAGCCTGAGGTGAAAGGATCGCTGGAGCCCAGGAGGTTGACGCTGGGGTGGCCGTGAGCATGCCACTGCACTCCGGCTGGGGGGACAGAGTAAGACTCCAACTCAAAAAAAAAATTGCTGATATGGGACACTTAAAGTACTCCTTGGCTCCCAAGATCAAAGATGAAGAAGGATCTAGGCATTCTTAAAATCCAAGAAAAGAAAACTAAGCTCTTTGAGAACAGCTTCCAAGATGCCAGCATGTACTGAAGTCTTCTGTCACCAAATTTGTACCTCTAAACATATATGTAGACATTGATTTCTACAAATAACCTATTTTTTCCTCTAGTCCCTGTAAGTTGTTTAAAGAATAAAGTCTAAGGTCAAATATGGTCTTGTTAACCTAGAAATATTTCTGCCTTACTTAGAAATACTTATGAGTTTTACAGTACAAAAGGGTCTGGACTCTAAATGCAGTTTTAAGAATTGTTTTTCAACCTAAATAAAGTTTCCTAAATTTCAAATGTCAAAAAAAAAGATGTAGACAAAATGAACAAATTTCTAGAAAAAATAACTTACTGTGGCAGTTTAAAAATATTCCTACTTATCCTTTGAACTTAAGATTTATGGGGAAAGGTCATGACAAAAGGATTATGTCCTTTCCTCATAAAGCTCAGTTGATTTAAACTACTTACATGTAATCACATAATTCCTGGGAATGTCTGTGTGAATTCCAAGGATACACAACAAAAGGTAGTGAAGCTTTCATTTTATCCACAGGAACACTTACCTTTAGAGTCCTTCACCACTTTTTATGAAGTCTGACAAGTCTGAGGCCACAATGCTCTATAGAAGTCCAGGCTGAAATCCCACCTGACAGCCAGCATCAGTCAACAGATAAGAGAGTAAACATGCCTCCAGATGACTCCAGCATCTGGCCATTGAGTCACCTGCCAAGATAAAGTTCCATACATCATGAAACAGAGACTAACTATTCCCACTGCCTTGCCAGAGTCCTGATCAATGACTATGATAAAACGACTATTGTAAGCTACTAAATTTGAAAGTAATTTGTTAAATAGGAACTGGAACACTTCCTAATGCTTACCTGAGATGAAATAGAAATTCTGAATAGTCTTATGACTATGATGAAATTATTTCATAGATTGTCTTTTGGTGTTGTATAAAAGGTTATTGCCAAACCTAAATTTTTTCCTATGTTCTCTACATAGTTTTATAGTTTTGCCTCTTGCATTTTGATCCACACTTCATTTTGAATTAATTTTGTGAAAGGTGTAAGGTCTGTGCCTAAATTCCTTTTTTTGCATGTCGGTGTCCAGTTGTTACAACTCCATTTGTTGAAAAGACTATTCTTTCTTTCTCTGTTGAATTGTCTTTTCTCCTTTGTCAAACATCAGTTGGCTAATTTTATGTGGGTTTACTCTGGGGTTTTCTATTTTATTCCATTAATCTATGTGTCTATTCTTTTGCCATACCATGCTGGTAGCTTTACAGTAAGTTTTGAAATGGTTTAGTATCAGTCTTCTGACTCTCTTCTTCAATATTATGTTAACTATTCTGGGTCTTTTTCATATAAACTTTAGAGTGAGTCACTTGATATTCACAAAATAACTTGTTGGGATTTTGACTGGGATTGTGTTAGATCTGTAGATCAGTTGAGAAGAATTAATATCTTAACACTATTGAATCTCCCTATCCATAAATCTGGAACTCTCACCATTTATTTAGATCTTTAATTTCTTTCATCAGAGTTTTTGTAGTTTTCCTAGATAGCTCTAGGAAATATTTTGCTAAATGTATGCCTAAGTACTTAGTGGGAGGTATCTAATGTAAATGGTATTGTATTTTCAATTTCAAATTGTTCATTGGTGATATATAGAAAAGCAATGGGCTTTTGTATATTAACATTGTATTATATAACTTTGCTATGATCACCTATTGGTTCCAGGAGTTTTTTGTCAATTCTTTGGCATATTCTATGTAAAAAAAATCATGCCATTTACAAAGAAAGTTTCATTTATTTCCTTCCAATCCATATTCCTTTTATTTTCTTTTTGCCTTATTGTATTGACTAGGACTTCCGGTACAAGACTGAATAAGAGTGGAGAATGGGTACATCCTTGCTTCTTTTCTTAGGGAGAAAGATTTTAGTTTCTCACCATTACGCATGATGTTAGCTGGAGGTTTTTGAGATATTTTTTATACCACTCTATTTCAATTTGCTAAGATGTTTTATCATGAACAGGTATTGAATTCTGTCAGGTGCTTTTCTACATCTATGAATATAATCATCTGGCTTTTCTTCTTTAGTCTGTTGCTATGATGGATTACATTAATTAATTTTTGGATTTTGAACCAGACTTGCATACTTGAATGCATTCCACTTGGTCATGGTATATAATTCTTTTTATACACTGTCGGTTTCAATTTGCTAATATTTTGTTGAGGACTTTTGCATGTATGTTCATGAGAGATATTGTTCTGCAGTTTTCCTTTTTTGTAATTTCTTTGACAGATTTTGGTATTATGGTAATGCTGACCTCATAGAATGAGTTGGGAATATTTCCCTCTGCTTCTATTTTCTGGGAGAGATTATAAAGAACTTCTGTAATTTCTTCCTTCGGTGGTTCAGCCTGTAATCCCAGCACTTTGGGAGGCTGAGGTGAGTAGATTGCCTGAGTCCTGGGCAACTTGGCAAGACCTCATATCTATAATAAATCAAAAATTAGCTGGCCATGGTAGCGCACGCCTGTAGTTCCAGCTCCTTGGAAGGCTGAGGCAGAAGGATCACTGGAGCCCAGCAGGTCAAGGCTGTGGTGGCCGGGAGCGTGCCACTGCACTCCAGCCTGGGCGACAGAGTGAGACTCCAACTCAAAAAAAAAATTTTTTTTATAGAAATTACTAACTGAACCACGTTGGCCTGTTGCTTTCTGTTTGAAAAGTACTGATTATTCATTCAATTTCTTTAATAAAGAAGTAATAAAGTAGGCCTAGTCATGCTATCTATTTCTCCCTGTGTAAGTTTTAGAAGACTGTGTCTTTCAAGGAATTAGTCTGTTTTATCTAGGTTATCAAATCTGTGGGCACAGAGCTGTAGTGCTGGGATTACAGGCATCAGCCATTGAGCCTGGCTGTTTTCATGGATTGCACTAATTTTTTATTTCTTTTTTTCTGCTTACTTTGGATTTAATTTGTTCTTCTCTTCCTAGTTTCCTAAGATGGAAGCTGAAATTATTTACTTTAGATCTTTTTTCTAATATATGCATTTGATGCCATAAATTATCCTCTAGACACTGCTTTTGCTGCATCCCACAAATTTTGATAAGTTGCATTTTCATTTTCATTCAGTCCAATATTTTTCAATTTCCCTTGATATTATCCTTTCATCCCTGTGTTATTCAAAAGTGTGTTGTTTAATCTCCAAATATTTTAGCTTTCTTCAGCCATCTCTCTATTATTGATTTCTAGTTAATTTCCATTGTGGCATCAGAATACACTTTGTGTTATTTCTATTATTTTAAATTTGTTAAGGTGCGTTTTTATTTGTTAAGATAGACCCCAGAATGAGGTCTCTCTTGGTGAATGTTCCCGGTGAGCTGAAGATAATGTGTATTCTGCTGTTGGATGAAGTATTCTGTAAATGTCCATTTGATCCAGCTGACAGTGTTAAGTTCAAGTATGCCTTTATTGATCTGCCTGTGGGTCTGCCCATTTCTGATAGAAGAATGTTATAATAGTGGATCCATCCATTGCTCCTTGCAGATCAGTCATTTTCTGCCTCATATATTTTGATGCTCTGACAAACACAAACACATTAAGGACTGGTATGTCTTCTTCTTATCACTATGTAATGCCTTTTTTTATCTGTAGTAACTTTTCTTGTTCTAAAGTCTACTTTCTCTGAAATTAATATGGCTATGCAACTTTTTTTTATTAGTGTTAGCATGTTGTGTTTTTTCATCTCTTCAGTTGTAATCTGTCTTTGTATTCAAAGCGGTTTGTTGTGTTTTGTTTGTTTGTTTGTTTGTTTTTGGGTTGGAGTCTCACTCTGTTGCCCAGGCTGGAGTGCAGTGGCAGACTCAAAGCCACCCCAGCATCAACCTGCTGGGCTCCGGCAATCCTTCCGCCTCAGTCTTCTAAGTAGCTAGAACTACAGGTGTGCACTACCATACCCGGCTAATCTTTGATTTATTGTAGAGACAAGGTCACACCAAGTTGCCCGGGCTGGTCTCAAACTCATGGGCTCAGGCAGTCTACTCACCTCAGTCTCCCAAAGTACTGGGATTACAGGTTGAGCCACTGAGCCTGACCCAAAGTGGATTTTTTATAAAGAAAAATAGTTGGGTCTTGATTTCTAATTCACTTTGACAATCTGTCTTCTAATTGGTGAGTTTAACTATTCACATTTAAATATATTATTGATATATTTGATGTCTAGTTTGACATCAATCATATTTGTAACTATTTTGTTTTTGTTGCCCGTGTTCTTGTTTGTTTGTTTGTTTGTTTGTTTTCCTGTCTTCCACTCAAGTTCCTGCCTTCTCTGGTTTTAACCCAACATTTTATATAATTCCATTTTCTTTCATTTCTGGTCACATCAGGTACACTTCTCTTTAACTTTTGTAGTGATTTCCCTAGAGTTTGCAATATACATTTGGAACTAATCTAAGTTCACTTTTAAAGAACACCTCACCACTTCATGGGCTAGTCTAGGTGTCTCATAGCAAATTATTCCTAATTCCTCCAGCACAGCCCTTATTATACTGCTGTCACTCATTTCGCTTGTCTATAATCTATAATCACCCAACACAGTCTTGCTATTATTATGTAGTACAAAGTGTTATCTGTTATCAACTAAGAATAGGAAAAATAAAAGATTTTTTTTTGCCTTTTTTATTTCTTCTTTAACACTTTTGCTTTTTAGGTATACTAGAATTTCTAATCTCTATTTATTTTTTCTTTCTCTGAAGAACTTTTAACGTTTCCTATAAGGCAGGTCTCCTGACAATAGATTTCCTCAATATTTGTTTGTCTGAGAAAGTCTTTATCTGTCTTTCACCTTTGAAGGACAATTTCACCGATACAGAATTCAGGGTTGGTGTTTTGTGAATATTTTTCTTTCAAAATTTTATATATTTCATTCCACTTTAATTTTATTTGCATGCTTTCTGAAGAGAAATCTGATGTAATTATTTCCCTGTTTCTCTAGGAGTGAGTTGTCTTTTTTCATTCTGGTTTCTTTCAAAAATGTCTCTGTCTTTGATTTTCTGCACTAGGAGTATAACATGCTTAGATGTTCATTGTTTTTTATTATTTTCTCTGCTTGGTGTTCTCTGAGCTTACTGAATCTGTACTTTGGAAACTTCGCCATTTTTAGTTCAAATAGTTTTCTATTCCTTTCTCTCTTTTTTCTCCACTGGCATTTCAGAGGAGTAACCTGTTATGCATATGTTACCACTTTTGTAATTGATCCACAGCTCTTAGATATTGTTACATTTTTTTC